CTCGCCCCTCCCCCCCATGCTCTCAGGGCGGCGAGCGAGGCCGCCTCCGTCCCTTCCTCCTGTTCCTGCTCCTGTTCCTGCTCCTGTTCCCGCTCCTGCTCCTCCTCCTCCTCCTCCTCCTCCTCCTCCTCCTCCACCTCCTCCTCCTCCTCCTGCTCCTGCTCCTCCTCCTCCTCCTCCTCTTCTTCCTCCTGCTGCTCATCCTGCTCCTCCTCTTGCTCCTCCTCCTCCTCCTCCTGCTCCTCCTCCTGCTCTCCTCCTCCTGCTGCTGCTCCTCCTCCTCATGCTCCTCCTCCTCCGGCGGCTCCTCTTGCTCCCTCCTCTGCCTCCTCCTGCCTCCTGCTGCTCCTCCTCCTCGCCCTCCCTCCTCCTGCTCCTCCTGATGCTGCCTCCTGCTCCTGCCTCCTGCTCCCTGCACCGCTCCGCTCTGCTCACTCCTCCTGCCTCCTCTCCTCCTCATCATCACCTCCTCCTCCTCCTCCTTCCTCCTCCTCTGCTCCTCCTGCTCCTCCCTGCTCCTCCTCCTCCTCCTCCTCCCTGCTGCTCCTCCTCCTCCTGCTCCTCCTCCTCCTCCTCTTCTCCCTCCTCCTCCTCCTCCTCCTCCTCATCCTCCTCCTCCTCCTCATCCTCATCCTCATCATCCTCATCCATCCTCATCCTCATCCTCATCCTCATCCTCATCCTCATCCTCATCCTCATCCTCATCATCATCATCATCATCATCATCATCATCATCATCCTGCTGCCGCTCCTCCTCCTTCTCCTCCTCCTGCTCCTCCTCCTCCACCTTCTCCTGCTCCTGTTCCTCGCCTCCTCCTCCTCCTCCTCCTCCTCCTGCTCCACCTCCTCAACCTCATCATCCTCTCCTCCATAGACCGAATGATAAGAAGACGAAGAAGAACCATGGCAATGCGAAGAAGCTGGGCAGGAATGGGCAGGCACGAGGGCCGTGGTAACAAGCGGAGGACAATGAGGATGTATGAGGGAATGCGTGAGGAATGCGCCGCAAAGAAGCATGCGTGAGGAAATGATAGTGCATGAAGGAATGCATGAGGCAATGAAACCAATCACGATTGGAACGCCACCCGCCACCGTGCTCTCGGCGCACCCGGGCGCGGTAGGATGCCTCTCGCTGAAGTTTTCTGGGGGCGGCGCCGTCCCGACGCAAGCAGCTTCAGCCCAGACCTGTCCTAAATGAGCTCGGAGACGGCCTCGACACCCGACCAGAAGGCTCCAACAATACCCGACCAAGCAATGTCAAACATCCACCGAAAGCCGCGACAGTGTCCCCAAGAGGCCTCGCTTACCCTCAGAAGAGGCCCCTGAGGAACTCCAGTCAGCGAAGCCCTGTGGTGTCAAGGCACCGAGAAGCTGTCGATTTTCGATTGGAGCCCCACCAGCCCATTAGGGCGTGAGTTGGCGGTGCGCACAAGGGGGTGGGGGGAGGGGGAGGGCTTCTTAGAAGCAGGCTGCTTCTTAGAAGGCGCCGGCCTCACATCTATAGACAAGGCCCGCGCCTTCTAAGAAGCAGGGGTTTCTAAGAAGCCCCCCCCCCTCCCCCCACCCCCCTCTGCGCGTGGCTGAGTGAGTGGTTTCTTCTTCCAACCTCCTTTTTCCCCTTCGGGGAATCTCTGCAGTTTCTTCTTGCCCCCCCCCTCCGCCTCCAGGACGACCCGCCGCCCGGCCGGCGGCACACTCAAGACCATCCCAACAGCCCCCCGCGCCATCGCTTCAAAGAAGTAGTACGACCACGCACTTTGCTGCCAAATCCGCCAGCCCTTCGGCGTGTGTGACACGGTTTCCCGTTTGAATCGTCTTCGTCGTCGTCGTCGTCGTCGTCGTCGTCGTTGTCGTCGTCGTCGTCGTCGTCGTCGTCGCAGGCGTCGGCAGGTCCAAAGAAAAAGAGGAACAAGGAAGCACAACGTCGTAATTCACCCGGCCCCCTTCCCTTTGTCCCTTCCCTGCCGGGGTGGGTGGGGAGGGGGGGAGAGGTCCCAGGACCTGGCCATCGTTCGGACGTCCCTTTCCTGTGTTTTGTTTCTGTTTCATGCGTGGCTTTTTTTCGCGAAATGAGCGAGGATGCTCCTCGATGGTCCTCGCCGAGGAAAAAAAACGCACACGTCCGAGCGATGCCAATGTCGGACAGAGTGCCGCCCCCCTCCCCCCGCTGGTGGTCCTGGCTGGCCCCCCGGGGGGCCGCCAACGAGGGCCCCGGGGGGGGGGAAGTCCCGCCAGCGAGGGCCGGCGGTGCCAGCCGCAGGGTCTGCGCAAGGTCGGGCTGTGCGCGGGCGCCCCGCGATGCCTTCGCAGTCTTTCTTGAGGGAGGAGGAGGAGGAGGAGGAGGAGGGGGAGGAGGAGGAGGAGGAGGAGGAGGAGGAGGAGGAGGAGGAGGAGGAGGAGGAGGAGGAGGAGGGGAGGAGGAGAGGGGGAGGAGGAGGAGGAGGAGGAGGAGGAGGAGGAGGAGGAGGAGGAGGAGGAGGAGGAGGAGGAGGAGGAGGAGGAGGAGGAGGAGGAGGAGGAAAGGGGGGGGCTCATATCGTCGGGCACGCGCGGGCACATGCTCCCCGTCATTCGGACGTCCACTCCCTGCGATGTTTTGTCGTTTTCGTGCGTGTTTTTTCTTTCGCAGGATAACCCCCGCCTAGAAAAACTGCATGCGTCCGAGCGATACCACGCATAGTAGTCCGTTGCAGAATCCTATGCGAAGTGGCTGCGGGTGCATATGCCGTGCGCCGTGCTGGCCACCCCGCCGCCATTGCGCCATGGCTTGTCATAAACATAAAAGGGGGTGGGGGGGGGGCGACACATTTCCCGATTCGTGTTGCCGCGTGCATTGGCGAACCTGGTGCGCGTGGAGAACGTGGCGCACTTGTCGCATGTGAAGCACGTGGCGCGCCAGGTGCGCGTGGCGAACCTCGCCAGCGTCGCGCACCAAGCGTCTGTCATGGTTCCCATTGGCAGCCCATCCGTTGGCGACCGCCGAACATGCTCAGAGGCGGGTGTTCTGTGCTAGACGGGCGGGTGGGAGTGAGCGAGACGGCGTTCGGCCTCTGGGTAGGTTGGCCCCTTCCTCCCCCGCCTTCCCCGTGGGTCTGGACGCGCGCTCGGCGCGCTCAAGATGGGCCAATATGGGCCAGGACAACCCACGATGGCTCCAGGTGGTTCCCACAATGCCTCCAGTAGACCCCAAGACCGCTTCAATGCGGTTCCACGCGGCCATGAAACTCACCAAGGAGGAGCCCACGAGGCCCAAGTCCTTCTCGAGCCCAAATGAAACCACTGCTGTTTCCATTCTAGAATTTTCCGTCTCCGATGAGCCTCTGAGGCCCCAAGACGGAGCACCCTGGAGAGCGCAGGAGGGGCCCCAAGACCCAAGACGGCCCCGAGAGCAACCAGTGGCGCCACGAGAAGCGACGGCTGAGGCTCACGACGACGGGAACGGAAGCCGGCGCAAGGCTCCGCGAAGGAGCTGCCCGGAGGGCCGAGACCCGCTTAGACGTTGATGGAATTGCCCTTCACATTGCCCCGCGCCTCTGAATTTACAACGCATATCCAATCGTGGCAACTACCGGTTCTCAACGCGCAGTCTTTGCTTTCATCTACCAACCGAACTTCTGGGCGCCCCGAGCGTCGCCGCGCCGGCGCGCGTCGGTCCGGGCGCGGAGCCCAACTCATGATTTCAATCAGCCAGTCTGATGCCTCCACTCAAACGACTCTCGCATTCGTCGTATTGCTTCGCGGGCGCCACGCTTTATCCCATCCGGACAAAGCTCTAATAAGGTGTCCGCGTCGATGATGTCGGTGGCCGGATGGGCGCCGGGGTCGGAGATGGCCACGGCGCCAGGGATGTGGCGCGGAGCGGCGTCGGTCTGTGAGCCCGGCAATAATAGCGCGTTTCTTTATGTTCGGCGATGACGGGCGTCATGGGGGGGGGGAGGGCGGGGGGGGTATGACATGACGCCCCCCCCGCCGTGTGGTTCCGGCACCACAACCGCGCCCGCGCGCACGACGCGACGAGCAACGAGCGACGAGCGACGACGACGACGCGAGCAGCATGTGAGTGGCGATCTGCCCATTGCGCCTGTGTACACCACAACGCTCGCGTGAACCACACCGCGCGTGTGCACCACAGCGCCTGTGTACACCGCAACAGCCGTGTGCAACGCACCGCCCGCGTATACCACAATACTTGGGAGCACTACAGCGCTGGTGTACATACACCGCAGAAGCCATGTGCAACACAACGCCTGTGTACACCACTGTGCTTGCGTGCGCCGCAGCGCCTGTGCACGCCACAGCGCCTGTCTACACCACAGCATCCGCGTGCAACGCATCGCTGGTGTACACCACAGTGCCTGCGTGCATAGGACAAGTAAAAGGAGCATGTACGTCAGGATCTGCTGCGGACAACCGAACGGCACGCCAGGAAAGCTCTGATAATCGAATGCGACGTTTTTCCCTTTTCCTTCCTCCTCCACCTCCACCTCCTCCTCCTCCTCCTCCTCTTCCTCTTCCTCCTCCTTTTCCTCCTCCTCCTTACCCCCTGTCGTGCGGCTTGGCGTTACAACGCACGTGCGCATCTCAGCGTGCACCGCAGAATGGTCGATTGAATCGGTCCAGTTGGTTCTCGGACGGCCAGTTTAGCTGGAGCCTCCTGGACGCAAGTGGGAAATAGGGTCATGCGGGCGGACTGGGGGGGACTCGTAGATTCCAGCGGCGCTCCTTCGTCCATGAGGATTTGTTTTCCATTGTTTCCTCTGGAATCCACACGCGTTCCATTTGTTCACAAGGATTCCTTCTGAAATTCTATACACAACAATGGTGCTGTGTTGCACACGGCTGATGTGGTGCACACAGGCGCCGTGGCGTACACAGGCACTGCAATGCACGCACTCATTGTGGTGTACACTGGTGTTGCGTTGCGCACGGCTGATGTGGTGTACGGAGGCGCTGTGGTGTACACAGGAGCTGCTGTGCCCGCAGGCACGGTGGCACAAACT